ACTCTTTCTCTCTTACTCTAAGTTGATTCATTAAAGCTGTTAGTCTGCTTGAGTACTGGAAAAACTTGTTTAAAGCCGCCTGCATTGAAATTTATCTTTAAATTAGTCACTCTTTGCATAATTTCGGCATGCACATGCACAATCAAGTCTGCGTTGTGTCAGAGTCACACTTTTTAATCAAATGTGGGTGACAATGTAGGGCAGATAAAAGCTAATAAAAGGAGTAGGTTTTTATTTTGATATTCAGGGCATTCTCTCTCACACACACAAGGCAATGGTGACAGTTACAGCCACAATGGTGGCCTTGTGTTTCCAGACAAATGCTGAATGGTCCACGACCAAGTGTCTGATTGTTCTGCTCACAAAATCTTTCATTGAATACACCAAAAGTCATCTTTTAATACAAAGAACATGCTGATATCAAGCCGGGTTGGGAGGATGTGTGGGTGGCAAAATGCGTCTGTGCCCTTTCTAAGAGCTGGTGCATGATCTCATGGCACTCATGCAAAAGTACAAGCATCACTTATGAAGTTATCTACTATGTATTGAGTGGATTTGCAGATATCAACCATAATACAGGTAGGTAATATTATAGTTTTAAAAAAAGTCACAAATGATGATACAATAAATTGCACTGTCTAAGTGACATGCTAATAAACCAGTATCAGGCAAAATTATCCTCTGCTGACCTTCGGGAGATATGCTTATGTCACAAATATGGCTACTGTTAATAAGAGTGCTGCTGACAGCACAAGCGCATATACCATAACACTGAGATGAGCAATCTTTACGATGCAAAACAGAGACAAAATCTGATAATCTTCACCTTTAAAACTATTGACATGTTTAACTAACAAAGTGTTATATAACAATACTTTGTATGTTTATTTGACTCCTTTAACTAGACCTCTCAACATACCATGTACACAATGAATCAATGATTGTTGAACTGATATAGAGGGTACTTCTAGGGACTAAAAACCCAATGAAAGCATTTGATGAAAGTAATTTTCTTTCCTGGGTTGACATATTTTCAATCAAGAGACTTAAAATAACTAATAGCGTTTACTTAACATCACAAAACCATGATTTGCTATTTGCTATTGTTAGTAAGTGGCAATTGTAAAGTTGTATTAATGGGAAGAGACATGCTGATTCAAGGAACCATTTTATTGGGCAAATAAAGTTAAATACACTACCATTCAAAAGTTCGAGGTCAGTAAGATTTTTATTAAAGCAATTAATTATTTATTCAGAATTAGGACACATTAAATTGATTAAAAGTGACAGTAAAGACATTTATAATCTTACAAAAACTTTCTGCTTCAAAAAATTGCCGTTCATTTGAACGTTCTATTGATCAAATAAAAAAATTAAAAAATACACAGCACAAACTGTTTTCAACATTGATAATATGAAATGAATCTTGAGCAACAATTCAACATATTAGAATGATTTCTGAAGGATCATGACAGTAAAAACTGAAGTAATGGCTCCTGTGATTTGCCATCACAGAAAAAAAAAACATTTTAAAATATATTCATATAGAAAACAGATGTTTTCAATTGTAATAATATTTCTCAATATTCACAATTTTTCCTTTTCCCCCCCCTCCCCCCGACCCCATGGAAAAAAAATAACTACATCTTAAAAGTACTTGTAACAATCAACAGCCCTGTTTATAGATGTACATTCAGTGATCACGATATTATGCAACACTTTCTTGTTTCCTACTGTGCTCAGCTCAGAAAGCAGTGGGATACTGAACATGAAGTACATGACCCTGACCTGCATAGCTCTCTCTGTCTGTGTAACATGTGTTATCCAAGGCCACTATAATCTTCTGAGATTGATAATTACACTTGGTTTAACGTATTTCTACCCAGATTATCAGAGAGATGAGACACATAGCCAGATAGAGAAAGGGAGAGACAATGAGTGAGAGGCATACTGCAGCAATTATTTCATGCTGTGTTAGGGTCAGTCCTCCTTACCCCCGGGGTGTGAAGAGAATGAGAGTGAGGTATCAACTGGACAAATGTGAGGTTACAAGACATGTCACATTTCTCTACACTCACTGTCATGGTCTCCATAAACCCAGCAGATTCGCAGAGTCCCCTACACATTTACGTGTGCTATACACAACGCAATTGATGACAAGAAAAGCGAGCCCTGTTGTGCTGCACTGCATGCCTGTCAACTGAAAAGTCTGAGCGAGCATCACGCTGGGACAGAAAGTTCACAAATCTCAAGCCTAGAGATACACAGCTAAAAATCTTAAAGGGGTCATATGATGTTGCTAAAAAGAACATTATTTGGTGTATTTGGTGTAATGAAAGGTGTTTATGCGGTTTAAGGTTCAAAAAACACATTATTTTCCACATACTATACATTATTGTTTCTACTATAAGCCCCGCCTTTCTGAAACGCGTAAATTTTTACAAAGCTCATCGGTCTGAAAAGTGAGGTGTGCTCTGATTGGCCAGCTATCCAGTGCATTGTGATTGGCCGAATACCTCAAGCGCGTGACGAAAATGTTACGCAAGGTGATGCGTATTGTGATGCTCTGTCCGTCCGGAGCGACGAGACAAAAACATTAAAACCCATTATAAACGAGGCATTTGTTGCATCCAGTGGGTACATAATTACAGATTATAATGACTTATACTGTCTTTTTACGCATAAACATAAAACCATGTCTGCATTTGTGATCGGAGAAAT